ATTTTCTTATTTTGAAAAAGCATTTTTAATGGATATTATAAGCCAAAGAATAAATAAAATCTCACTTTATATTTTTTTTTATAATTTATTTTTATGTAGTAAAGGTTGAAATTAATTATATATATTGAAATCCTTCTTTTTGAATTTAACAAGTTGTTAATGTATAATGTCTGGATTGTATATATATATATCTTCAAAGTATCCTGTAATAAGTTAATGCATATCCAAATAAAATCTCTAAAAACCTGATAATCAGCTTTCTAGAAAAGGCTGAAAACATATAAACATGTCAATAAATTATCTTAACACAAATACATTTGAAAAACTTTTTAGCAAATGTTTATTTTGTAAATAATTAATTAATGTGCAGATAAAAAAAAATTTAAGGAACCGAAATGTAAATATTCATTTTTCTCGAAGTAATTTATTCAATATAAATAAATTTATTGGCCTACATAAAGCTTAAAGTATTTATGAGATTAATTTCGGATGCATTAGAAGTAGATGTCATTATCTCACATTTTATTAAATTGGATTTAACAAATATAAAGTTTTATTTTAGAATTTTACAGTTATATTCCACCAGTTTAGCTAGTACTTCGACCTTTAACCACTTTACAAATTTTAATTGGGGAAAGAAAGGAAACAACCAAAATTACTTAACCAGTGTTTTTTTCTAATGATAGTATAAAGTTACATCTAAGAACTGTAATGTAAGAAGTACAGTAGTCGGCCACGTGACACTTTAGATTGTATCCTAAAGGGTTTCCTTTCATGTTCGAGGTTCATCCCTTAACTTTCTCCCAGGAACTGACGTGTTGGGGAGGGTGGTTTTGGGGGAAGAGTTGAGAAAAAGTCGCTAAGCCGATAACTCCGGTTGCTCGCCTAATTACGTCTGGTGACAGTTCATTTTGTCCTGTCCACACTAGTGGAAGCAAAGCACCACCTAATCAGTAGCTTCCTTCTTCCCCCCCCTGTTTTCCTTTCGTTTTTCTATCTCTCTTGTACGATTCTTACACTACTCATCAAGAGTTCTAAAATTATAAATATTATAAAAAGTATGTTTTGTTAGAGTTATTGGCATTTTTACAAATTATTCTTTAAGAGTTTTGATTCTATAATCTTCGTTACAAACGTTATTGCAAAGTATCATCATTAAAATTATCTACTTAATAAGATTTTTATACAAATGGCGCCATATGAGACGTATCGATACATCATGAATGTAAAAATTCTACCGTTATCAGTAGAAAATAACGGGTTAAATAGCTCTTTTATGGAGCGAAAAGCTTAGAAAATTATTATAGAAAATCTGTTTCATGGATGACTCGACGTCACGTTGACTTCTATATTTTATCAAATTTTAGATACTTAGATTACTTTCGTACAACATGAAGTTTAAATTTGTTAGATTTCGTAATCATTGAACTGTTGTCAAAAATTTTCTCAGATCCTCAAAAGGATTACAAAAATCAATCATTCACTCCGTGAGTTCTTCACATTTTCAAGAACAAACCGTGAATCAAAGGGTAAATTTCATTTGCGAAGAAAGTCCAAAGTTAGTTTTTTCCCTCATGTCCGAAACAAATTTCAATTTTCTTTGTCTTTACGTTGGAAAAAACGTAAGAATCTAATGATATTCCTCATCTAGTGTTCCTGTCACGTAAAGCAGGTTTGTCCGATTCAATTTGTTTCTTCTTTGCCAAAAAATTATCCATCCTCCAGATACAAGCCCCCAATTTTCTTTATTTGAATTCTTGAAGGTAAGTCCGGAAGGCGAACCCATTGTCAATTCCATGGACACATTCTGCTTCTTTGGGAATTTGTTTGCTACATTTGTGTGCATGAACATGCTGATGTGGCAATTCTCTTATATCGAATGTTTCTTATAAATATAATGAGATTCTTCGGCTTTCTCTTTGCGGCCTCTTTGCAAACTTTCAAAAAGAGAACGGTTATCTTCTTTATATGAGAACCGAACGATGAAATCGGCATTTTTAGTTGAATAGTCAAGGCTTTTCTTTTGTTTACTTTATGTAATGTTCAATATCCTAAATTTGGACATGCATCTTAATGCGTGTTATGTTCCTATAATAATTTTAAGTTAAGAATAAGAAATCGTGATAAGAAATTTATGCTGATTTATCATTTCTATCAGTAGTTTATGTTTAAAATAATACATTAAATTAATTTATAAAGAAATTTAAATATATTAAATAAAAATTTCCATATAAAACATTTTGAGCTGTCTTTTAGAATGTGCAATGAGTGTGGCGATGGTGATGTTTTTAGAGAGAGTTAAAAAATATCTCAAGCGAATGGTAATACAAAAAAATTTTTTAAGTGAAAGTATACTTTAGAGTCGTGCGTTTTTTTGTTAAATTGCTCTAGGTGCACACAATCTTACGGAGAGAAGATAATTTATCACTTTGTATTCCCCTTGGGATTACTTCCGTTAAAGACCTTGTACATAAGTAAACCAGCACAAGTTCCCTTAAAAATTCCACTCAGGACCCTTCAAACCGGGACTTATCTAGGAATGATCAATGAGATCGATCCATCACATTGATCGATGCATTCATTTCATACTTTTCTCAATATAAAAAAAGAACCCAAATATTCGTCTACAGTCTTACTACCGGCTCCTTTATTGGCAACATGTCGAACTCAGAATTTATATCATTCAAACATCAAGTATAACTGGAGAAATTTCGATATCCAGCCTTAACTTTTTACTATGAAATAGAATCAAAAATTCTAAAGCTGAAAACTTATCGTAGTTTAGAAAATCCGAGGTATTCCAGAAATCGATTCCAGATTTTCGCTTCTTAAAGATCTCTTTGGAAACACCGATAAGAACTTTCTAAACTTTCTACCGACTGCATAAGCTTTACGATCGAACGAACCGACTATTCGTGACGAATACGTGACACGAGTCACGAAAACTCTTAGCCGAATTAATGACAGAGGACGTAATTGACTTAACGGATTGGTTAGTGATCCTCGGAGGACAATTTCTACTTCATTTGTTTTGGTTTTAATCAAAGCAGATACATAAGAGAGGAATTTCAGAATAATTTCGTTAGAAAACGAATCTAATATCTAATTTATTATTTTTGTTTTTCCTCATATGTCACGTTAGTTTCAAAATGCATAGAATACACTAATACAATTTTAATTAATGTGTTTCTCTGATTTATATGGTAAGCTAGCATCGTATTAGCTGTATAACACGATATGTATTCGCCATTTTTAGCACCTTATGCACGACAACACGCTTTATCTTTACACCTTATGAATAACATATTCACCACTTCATCATATTCTTCACTAATATTCTAGTCGTACCTGAACATGTCCACATTGTTCCCATGTTAAAGCTGTGAGTTTTAAATCTGCATATTTTTCTCATTATGTACTTTTAGCAACACGAAAATGTAATTGAACTCTAACCGCAAACAGTTTTTGTTTGTTTATAGTATAAAAATAATAATTGTAAAACAGGAGACCACGTGAGCTGTCTTCTTTTCTATAATAAATTCTTACTTAAACCTGAACTTATATCCGTGAAGCTTATTACAATATTCAACATACCTTCAGTAGTAAAGAAGGGGGAAAAATCGTTTCACTTCATAAAGTGCTTAATGTCATATTTACTTTCGATAGAAGCGAATGTATTTCAATTGAATTACGTCAACAATTTGATTTATAGAAATTTCCCTCGGAAATGTTTAGTTTTCCAGTTCTCGTACGGAGTATTATGTCTGGATTTTGTGTCTTATTCTCATCTTTAAGGATTATTGAAAATTTATTGTCATGTATCGTCATGTTTCAAGATTGCCAATCATGTGGGGATTAATTTCTAGATATTCTATCTTACTGTCAGATGTTAACATATTTACATAATTTATTTCTTGTCTGCAATTATTTAAATTTTCACTATACAATCTCATTTTTCATCTTTATTCGTGTTTTTATCCGTCTTTTCTCCTCCGGGGATGCATCTATATATTTCTAATAAGGATGTCTTCGTGTCAACCAGAATGTTCTAAACGTGCAAGATAAAATTATAGTTTCCATGTTTTTTAATCTTTTTAATCCTCAATATATAAGTATAATTCTCCTTGATCATAAATAATGCTAGAATTATATAAACCTAAAGTAGGTATTAAATTTTGGAGATGTAAGTTTAGCCAAATAAAAGGAACGGATGTTAAGATACTTATATAAAATTTAATGATTTTTAAACATTGTTTTTGCAGTAACATAGCTTAAAAATCCGGTATAAATGGTGACATTATTTATGATTTACATATTATTTTATGCTATTTATGTGCTTTTAACTGGAATTTTGACGATGTAATTTACTGCAGCACTCCGGCCAAACACAAACCAGATTTATCTACAATATTAAAAAAAAGTATAATAGATAGATATGCCGGCCCCTACACTCATTTAATTTCCATGCTAACCTCCTTCCGTAACAAATTCACAACTTAATGATCTCTCTATGTTCCTTAATAGACCAAATCCTTCTTTTTAGATTCCATTTATGGCAAATTTTAGACGGTTAGAACCTAGACCAAGATAACATTCGAGTGTACATGTTCGAAGTCAATCAATCTCTATTAAAAGCTTATTCGGAGTTAGAATGGCTCATTACTGTCACCTTAACATCGATCAGATTGCCTCCACCCCCTACACGAGTTCTTTCAGACTTGGGAGGGGTCTTTTAAAGATCTCACCCTGTCTGACGTCATTTTTTTTTGTGATATTGATTTCTTTCAGTATCTTACAAAAACTTTATGGTTAGAGCATAAATGTTAATGCCATAACATAGCATATTATATCTTATAAAAATATACGCTTGCATAGACCAGGCTATGTATATTTTGTAGTGATTCAAAGTAAAATGTGCTCTGTAGCCAGAATAGCTTCACTTTTAATATTAATAGATATATTAATGTATAGATTGTACATAGTTCGTACATCACGTGACTTATACATCTTTTAGAATACTTTTTAAAATTGTTTTCTTAGAAGCCAGGCAGATGGCAAACATTCAATGTATTTAACTTATTTTATAATGTAGAACTATAAAGTGTATAATCGATAATGGTAAGTTTATACAGGGTTTATTTTTTAAAGAAATATTTTAAAAAATAGAAACTAGATACGTTGAAAATGCGTTTTTAGTATTCTTCCTTATTTTCTTTATAAAATTTACTTAATCCTATGTAAACTTAGTTTTTGTGTGATGCACCCTATAAAGAACTATATGCAAAATCAACCCATTTAGAAAGCCCTACACAAAAGATTTTAGAATTTCTTTTACAACAAGATGTGTTCTTTTCCTGAGAGTTTCTTTTTTCTTCTTTCTATGAAACACTGGAACTTTATAGGAACGGTGTTTATCCCTAGTAAGACCTTCAAAACAACTTTCTCTTCTTTTTTCTTTTTCCTTCTGAAACAATATTGCTATTGAATACACTTCAAATTCTTTTTTTCGAAATTTCGTTCTTATACAACATAAATATATTTATGTTAACTATTATAAATTTTCCAAAGTTAACTTTGAGTTTAAAACTTAAAATACAGTCAACCTTCAATAATGTCCATCTTCTAACACTGGCATCTCAAACAATGTCTAGTTTTTATGTTCTTGTCAGTATATATATATATATAATATGATTAAAAAACAGTATACACATAATTATAAAATTTCTTTATTTGGTGGTATGTTTATATATAGTTTACAAATATTTTGAATTGATATAATTCATGATAACTGCATTAAATTTAAATTCCAACTCTAAGTGTATCTCCATAAAAAGTTTATAAAAGACAATTTACACTTTTTACCACTTAAATATTCACGAGCAATCTAAAAATACACTAAGAAGCAGATATTGCAGAGTATTCTTCCTTAAAACTAAGATGGTTGAGTTTTACAACTGAACCAATGTTGTAACATGAGTTTGTTACGCTTTATAACATCCACAACAACTTCCAAGCTGAGCTAACAATCTTTGATAGCATCTTGGACATTTCCTATTGGAGAACTGTCTATTTTAGGAAAGGGTATTTGCTACTTCAGATTGAACAGTTTTTGAAAAAGAAAGATGATAAAAAAAAAAATAAAAATAAAAAGAAACACGACAAGAAACTTTCTCTAAGTCCAAAAATATCACGTGATTATCTGCAATGAATTATGGGGTAATCCATTTTGTGTCGTTTTATCGACGTATGCAAATATATTTAAATTATTAAGTATTTTTATTTGCAAGTTTAGAGTGAACTTCACCTTCGAAACCAGACTAAATCGATTTTATGTAGGGCCTGGATATGCACTAACACGACATTGAAGCTCTCCTTAGTGAGCTTTTGCCATTGAATATTCAGTTAACAATGATAACAATATATAAATTTTTAGATTTTAGAATATATGAGTCACTTTCTTTATATTTGAATAACTATTGATTAATAATTTCCCAGTATTTTTTTAAATTCAAGTTAAGTGAATTCATTTATTAGATTTTCTATGAATTTTATTTAATTAAGAAGCTATTCTAACTCTTTATATTAATCAAAACAAGTATGTTTTCCTCTCACAAAGAATCATTTTATTGCTTATAATATATAATTGCTTTACTAGTCATAAAGAGTAATTTATTTCGAACAATACGGTTTATTATGATAGTTTTTTTCCCATCTTAAAAACATATTATTGCGAGATTTCATACTTAATTTTTATTATTATTATTAAATCACGTTAAGAAAAAAGATTATAAATTTGAAAAATTAGCAATAAAAATATTTTATTTTATGTTAAAATTATTATAAGAATTAAGAATATTGTTTTGTAAATAATTTCTTGATTTTAACAATGATTTAAAATACATTTATATTGTTAAAAAATAACATTACTTTTTTTTTATAAGTTGTCGGTCTTTAATAGGATTTCTGTAGGATTTTATATAGGAAATTTATTCTCAAGATGACCTACTGAAGGTTGTATATAAACCTTTCTAACATATTCCAGCATAAAGATAGATATGTTAGATACCAATGAGATCTATACATAAGTAAATAGATATCCTCATCTTTCACGAATTCCTCTTGAAAATCTTGCTGATTGAATCCGTATAAATCTTGAATAACATAAATAATTTTTTAAAGTTAACATTCTAATTATTAAAAAAATAATAATAATACCAAATTAATTTGAAAATTTAAATATATAATTAGAGAATATTAAGAAAAACTTAAATAAAAATATTTAAAAAATTTATTTTTTAATTAAAAAACTTATTAGATCTAAAATTAATAAACATAAAATTTATTTACTTTTTTTTCTTCAAGGAATTTCTTGATTAAAACTTGATAGATGATCATTTTTATATTAAAAAAAATTCTTTTTATCTATTAATAAATTATCAGCTGTCAAACTAAAATTAATAACCAAAGTAAAAATTAATTATTAAAAATATTTCTATTTCTTAATATATAAAATTTAACGAATTAAATTATATTACAGTAAAATAAAATTTTTAAAATTTTGAATTTACTGGTCATAAAATGTAACCAATGAAATAATTGTCTACGTAATTAACGGAAAAAAAATATTTATGACGTATTTCAAACAAACCAATCGATTTGAATTTCACGATTTCCCAGTATTCGTCTGAAATAGAACGGTTTTCTGGAATACAATTTCAAATATTTCATCGAATGGAAGAAGAAGTGACTGCATTTACTAGAAATAATTATTGATAAGTTATAAGAATTATTTCCAGTAAGTTTCTATATCAATTTTTTATGATATATTTTTAAAATAATGCTTTTTTTAATATTAAATATTCCATATGTATATATTTACTTTCAATGTGTAACTTGAAAGATTTAAATATATATATATATAT